TAAATCATCTTCTAAACCTGTTGGAATCATTAAAATCGTGCAAACAACATCTAAATCCCCTCAATCTTCATCTTTCAAGGTAAAGTTTTCTAAACTCTTTATTTCATTATTTTTGAACATATGATTAGTTTCAATTAGTTCTAGGTTGAAATAGTGATCGGGCATTGATCATTTAGTGATTAGAAACTAGATGTTACAACTAATTTCATCAAAAACACAAGAATTTTTCAATTTTTTTAAATTTTCGAAATAATAAAAAAAATGTTATTTTTCAAATTATTGTGTTTTGATTAAATTATGTTGTTGTTATGAAAAACTATACATATATTGTTTCTCAAAACCATATTTTTCAAAAGTTTTTCAAAAACTTTGCCCATTAGGATTGATTCAGAGAATCTTGAAATATTGAGGACTCATTTGAGTTTTGGGATTAATTGAATTGCATACACTTGTTTTAAAATTGCAGGTTATTATATCTATTCCGATTTCGTTCACCATGTCAAATCCTAAACGTCCTAGGTCTTCATCTAGTCGTTCTAGTCGTCAACCAAATCCACCTCCAAATCCTCCTTCTATTCCAATTTCTAATCCCAATCCCACTGATCCTAACTTGACTATCCAAAATTCGTGTTTCAATCATCCTGGGTCTAGAAATCACCGATATTGGTATTATCAATATTTCGATTCTTACAAAATCCGGGAAGAACGTATTCCTTCTCGTCAAGCTATGTTAGCTATCGATTTTAAATATCTTCCCATTTTACAAGAATGGAAATTTGATAAACTATTTGATCTTGAACCCATCGTTTACCATCAACTTGTTCGTATATTCTACTCTAATGCCGTATGTGTTAAAAACCAAGCTGAAACCGAAACCATAGGAATTCGTTCCTACCTCCTAGGACAATTCTTATATATTGACCCGGCATATATAGCCAATACATTTGGATTAGATAATGATGGTATTTCGAATGAAAAACAAATTTTAGGTTCTCGTTATAAAAGAAGAGATAGTGCGAGTGTCTTAGACCTACATGAGCGTTTTCTTCATCTAATGATTTCTTAGTGGTTTCGACCATCCGGAGGTCGTTATTCTACTCTTAGAGCTTTGGATATTTGGTGGTTACATTGTTTCAAAAACCGTATTAAAATTAACCTACCTCAGATTATTTTTGCTGAAATTGTTGAAACCGTAAATCTTGTTCCTAACAAGAAACACTGTTCATCTCTAGTTTACGGTTGCTTTTTGAGTAATCTGTTTTCCAAAGCTGGGCTTAGAGTCGGTCTAGATGCCGTTTTTCCTCTTAAGAAACAAATAAATCTTCTTTCCTTAACGAGAGCGGGATGGGTAAAGGACAAAGAAACCGGTGAATGGGTTCGTTCTTCTACTCCGGGAGCTAGTTCTTCACAAGCTCCACCCGAGGCTGACGAAGATCCCGAGTTTGAACAATTAATGAGGGATATTGATGAAGCTGAAGAAGAACTTGAACAACCCGAAGAGCAGCCCGAGGAGCAAGCACAACAAACGCATCAAATGCCTCCATATTTTCAATCCTTTATGGAGACATTCGATTTTCGATACGCTACCATGGACTCGCGCTTTTCCTCTATAGAGTCTCATTTATCCACAATGGGAGCTCAACAATTAGAGATTCTTCGGGAGATGCGTGCAAACAATGAATCAACCAACGCTTGTATCAATGAACTCACACACGAGATGGCTGCTATGCGAGCCCGTTTTCCTCCTACCGATCCGGATGCTTAATTTTATGTTTATCTTTAAAACTTTGAACAAAATGAATATTGTTTCAACATTTTGAATTGTTTGATTTTGTGGATTGTTGGATTTTGGATTTATGAATGGTGTGAACTTATATGTTTGGTGTTTTATTCATTTTTGCATCATTTACATTATCATTAGTAATATGATCAATTTTGCCATATCACATTATTTATGAATATTGATTTATGAAACTAATGGCTAACCTCTCTTTTGATTGTGATCTTAGCAGCTTAAGCTTATAATTAATAAATCAATTGGCTAAATGATTTTCAAAACCTTGTTTTACAATGTCTTTTTGATTTAACAAAAAGGGGGAGAAGAATAAGTGTTAAATGTTTTACATGATAAATTGAAGAAGTGTTAAAGTAAGGGGGAGTAATTTCAAAACTTGATTTCAAAAATCTTAAAATTACTAAAATGTTTTGTTATATCAAAAGGGGGGAGATTGTTGAAACATTTTAATATTTCGATATAACAAATTAAGTTAAATGGATTTTAAGATTTTCCAAATGATTTTCTAAGTATATTCGATATAACTATTCGAATATCAAAACATTACTCCAAATATTTCAAAAATCATTTTTAATCCTTACTTAAGTGTAAAATTAAGTTTTAATCATAAAACAATTTCAAAATAATTTTACAAAGTATTTCGAACCAATTCAAAGCCAAAAATTACAGATTGCTCAGAGGGAACCGATTCCCCCCATAGGAGGAACCGATTCCCCCCCTGAATGGTTTGGCTCCGAGATTTCCAGAATGCTCGGAGGGAACCGATTCCCCCATAGGAGGAACCGATTCCCCCCTAAACATTTTTGTTCCGAGAATTCCAGTATGCTCGGAGGGAACCGATTCCCCCCCAGGGGGTACCGATTCCCCCCTGTTCAACGGTCGAAATATTTGAATTTTACACTTAGGGAACCGATTCCCTATGAGGGGGAACCGATTCCCCCACGCTCCAAGCTGTTTTATTAAATGTTTTCACACTAAAACGGCTATAATATCTTTTCTAATCATCCCCAACGTTCAGAAGTGATCCAAGGTGTATTTAAGCAAGCTTAGAAGCCATTGATCAAAAACAAGAAACATCAAGCAACTAGAATCAAGAGAGAATCAAAGAGAAAGCATCAAACCTCAAGTTTGAGCATTTCAAGCCTATTTTCATTCAATATTCATTTTGCTTTCAAGAACACTTTTTGTGCTCAATTGTATTCATCTTTGAGTGTTCTTTTTCTTTGTTCTAGAATTGTGCAAACATCTTACCTTGTGAGGTTTTCTTGTAAGTTTGCAAATTTGTAATCTTCTCTTTGAGAAAAGAGTGTTCTCAAGAGTTGGGGTATACTCTTGAGGGAATTGTAAGGTTATCTCTTTGGCCTCAAAAGAAAGAACAAATTAGTGAATTTGTTGGAAAATCCTTAGTGTGGATAGCTAAGGTAGTGGACGTAGACTTTTTTTTGAGAAAGTCGAACCACTGTAAATCGCTGTGCAATTACTTTCAATTTTCTGCAAAAGCTTCCACAAATTTTTTATTGCCAATTCACCCCCCCTCTTGGCCAATTTCGTCATTCGATTAACTCAACAGATAGCCATACTCGCATTACGATTTACATATTCGCATTGCGATAGTCGGAAAATCGCAACGCGAATTTGGAAAATCGTAATGCGATAGTCAGAATCGCGTTGCGAATCTGGAAACTGATTTGCGATACCGGAGATTGCGTTGCGAATTATCGATCGCATTGCGATTTAGTTGGTCATTTTGGCAAATCCAAAAAAAGTTGGTTAAAATCGTATATTATAAGACATTTTTGGTTACTGAGGTTATTTTCTCAAAAATGAAACAAAATGTTTTAGGGTAAACTACAAAAAAGACCAGGTTAATTTGTTGAGTCGATTATGATTTAAAATTATAAAATACTTCAGTTATAAATTATTATTTTGTTGAGTATATTAAATATTAAAAATTATAAAATAATCACTTAACTATTTGTATATTCTAAATTCTTATTTTTTTTCTTAAATATTTAAGTTAAATGTTAATATGTTGACTAGTATATTATAAAATTTGTTCTGATAACCATTTGAATTGTATTTTGTGGATCAGATTTTATCATTCACAATAAATAAGTTAACGTTCAACTTAGACATCCATTAATTTTTTAATAAAAATTGACAAGTTTGGAACGTATGAATAGTCAAATGATCATTTTATAATTTTTTCAGTAGACTCATCAAAATAATATTTTATAGTCAAATGATCATTTTATAACTTTTAATAATCGACAAACTCAACAAAATAACACCGTGTAATCGGGGACATGAATATATCAATTATTTGTTTAATTTTAGGGTAAACAACACCATATATCGCTTAGGTTTACGTCTTGCATCATCTGTACAATGGATCTTTCAATTTTTTAATTATATTATTGAATTTTAATTTTAACTTCAGTTATGTGTTTGAACCTTAAATTTAACCATATAATGATACGAATATATCTTTGTCATTGTGATGACGTAGACAAACCATGTCGTTTTAATAACAATTATCAATACCTAAAATGATGTCGTTTCATACATTAAATTTTAGAAATATATCAATTTTATCACTAAATTTTTACACAATTACATTTTATTATTGATTTTTTAGAACCATCATTAAGAGACAATCATCCCTTATCACCGAATAACATTCATATTTTACTTGTCTTTTTCTACCAGCATGACCTATTTTCCCGCTCAATAGCTATAATTCCTAGTCTTCTTCTATATAACTGAAGCATAAACCCTAGCATTTCCCGCAAACTTTGCTTCGCCTCACTCTGTTTCTGGTTGTTCATTTTCATTACTTCAAGCACTCCTAGTATGAGACCTCCAAGAGGTGATCAATCTCCCTTAGCTTTCTTTGCATGAGTTTAGTTTATGCTTACGGTGTTCCTAATGTACTGATATGTGCAGGACGTGGTGGTGGTGGCGGGTTTCGGGGAAGAGGTGGTGGCGGGTTTCGGGGAAGAGGTGATGTTGGGTTTAGAGGAAGAAGAAGAGGTGGTGGCGATAGGGGTGGCAGTGCCATGAAATCCCGTGGCGGAGGCCGCGGCGTCCGTGGAGGAGGAAGAGGACGCGGTGGAGGAATGAAGGGTGGAAGCAAGGTCATAGTTGAGCCCCATAGACACGAGGGAGTTTTTGCGGCCAAGAGCTAAGAATATGGTACCTGGTGAAGCTGTTTACAATGAGAAAAGGATTGCCGTTCAGGTAATATTGTTCTTACCATTTTTTTTTCTATTTTAAGCTTCTCCAACGACAGAATAAAGATGATTGATTGAATATGTTCTAGCCACTTGGGTATTTTTTCATTTACTTGTGGACAAACATATTTGATTACGTTTTCTAACAGAAATTGAAGTTATTTCATGATTCTACTTTAACATAATGAAGATGGAGCTAAAGTTGAATACCGGGTGTGGAATCCGTTACGATCTAAGTTGGCAGCCGCCATTCTTGGCGGTGTTGACAATATATGGATTGTAAGCTATATGTTTTCATTTTTGTCGTTGTTTGTAGAAGTTTCATGATTTACATTCTCACCACCTGTGTTTTTTTGTTTTATCTAGAAACCTGGTGCCAAGGTTCTCTACCCTGGAGCTGCTTCTGGTACAACTGTTTCTCATGTATTTGATGTTGTTGGTCCTGTAAGTATACAGTGTAGTGAATGTTCGAATGAATTGTATGCTTATATCTGTTGGGTTTTGTTTATTGATTTTTTGGTTTCGACGGACTGGTGTGGTTGATGCAGTGGAATTTTCTCACCGGGGTGGTAGAGATTTGGTTAACATGGCCAAAAAGAGAACAAAAACAAATGTTATACCCATAATTGAAGATGCTAGGCATCCGGCCAAATACAGGATCCTAGTTGGTATGGTGGATGTGATATTTTCTAATGTTGCTATCAGGTTTGCTTTGTTTTGCTTTGTTGATTTCTTTTTTCTTATTTTCCCCCTATAGTGAATGGTGATGTAATCAGGAGGAATAGGCTTTTAGTTTCTTGGTTGAATTTGTTTTGTTTATTTGCTTTCTTCCGTTTTGATTCTTCCAGCTGTTTTTTAAACAGAGTAGTCTTGGATTTCTGGCTTAAGGCACAGCTTTAAGTATCATATGCATATGATGAACTCTACTCGGATTCCCCTTCAAGACTTCATGGGTGATGCTAACTCGAGTTTCTGATGCGATAATAAGTGACCAACCTTGAATAGTTTACAATTTCAATTTTTGTAAGAAGATTCATTTTCTTAAAAAAAAGCAAATTTGTTCTTTCTAGTCTTCTAATAAGAATACAAGTAGTTTAAACTTAAAATTATCTCTCAGAAACTCTTGTAGGCAGCTATTTGTTTTGCACGTGTTTTCCCTTCTGTCATTTTATTTGATGGTATCGCTATGCAAATGATGAGGTACTCGGATTCCCCTTCAAGACATCACGGGTGATGCAAAACCGAGTTTCTGATGCATGTTCAATTTACCTGTAGTTGCCGTGCTGTGTTTTGCAATCCTTTTTCTCAATAAGCACTGGCTTCTTTGCTCTCTTATAGAGTAGCCATTGTATAGATTCTTTTCTTTGAAATTCTTGTTTTTTAAAGCTGCATACTAGCCATTTTGAAACGTCTTTTAAGATTGTTATTTTAGTTCACACATTATTTTTATCTGTCTGCTAGGCACACCGCACGGAACGGATTTATGCTATGTTTCAAAACTCTGAGTTTTTACTCAGCTTGTCACTCTTAAGTGGATTTCACTTGCATGTTCCAAAATGGGCATGCGATATGAAGAAACCTATAAAAAGATACTTGCACCAAGTCCAACTAGCACAGATGTAATCTTCCTCCTTTCGTTTTACTTTATTTTGCAGGCAAGGATTCTTGCATTGAATGCATCATTTTTCCTTAAAGCTGGAGGTCATTTTGTTATTTCAATCAAGGTTATCCAGTAACACAAGCTTCTTTCACGTTTGGCATGTTGGCTATAAACATGATTGAATATTTCCAGGCTAATTGCATCGACTCAACTGTTCCGGCCGAGGCTGCTTTCCAGAGCGAAGTTAAGAAACTGCAACAGGAACAGTTCAAACCTTTCGAACAAGTGACCCTCGAACCATTCGAGCGTGACCATGCCTGTGTCGTGGGTGGCTACCGAATGCCAAAGAAACAGAAAGCTGCAACATAATGTTTACTGGGATGTGTTTTTAAAGCCAATGTTTTCTGGTTGAACTTTAGATTATCATTTGAAGAATGTAGTTTTTGAATACCGTTCGTTGAGACTGGTTTAGATCAGGCATACCTTCGTCTGAGCTGCAGCACAATGTATTTTGGGTTATGGTTCAAATGATTAGTTACTAATTGTTTTATTTTGAATATTGATCGTACGGAGATAGAGGATGTAAAGTTAAAATATGTTTTATATTTACTAGCGTAGATTGTTGAAAAGATTACATTCGGCGCACCTTTTATGTAATGGTACAGATATAAGAAACGAAATTGGTCTACTTTTCATTTTTAGTTAGTGCTTTGATCCCTATCCATGGTAGGACCAAGAGGCTTATTTTTTATTAAAACAAGTTCTAAGGTACTTGGAACTAGAATTGGAATTCTCAATATACAATGTATAGACCGGATTTTGGTATTCATAAATATTGTTTTGTTTTCTGCTTATTTTAATATTTAGGATTGAAAGCATATGCGAGTGAGTGTTAACCCATCCAAGTGTGCTGTACGTGGTAAATGAATTAGTGTGGTGTATGTGATAAATGAATTGTTGTTGTTTTGAGTACTCAGGTTTTTCATCATAGATACTAAAGGCGTAAGCGATCAATATTGAAAGATTGAGAATTATTTTTAAACATATATCGTCTTCTATTTACCCAAATACTTTGAGCATTTACCGTCTTCTACTTACCCAGATGAATCAAAAAACAATCATTTGAGCTTTGCATTTGTAAATAATATATTTTAGGGTAAAACATATTGATAGCCATGGAATTTTAGGATACTTTTAGTTTGATCATGGTACATTTAAATTTTGTATTGGAGTCGGTCAAATTGTTATGCTTGAGAAGTGTCTAGTTTGATCATTTTACCAAGAATCTAATACTTAATCACTATATTAGGTTGAGTACTTGTTATATGACTGTAAATTTAATTTTAATCACAATTATGTAACAAGTGTCTACTTTGATTTGTTAATTAAGTATTTGAACCTTCCAAAAGGGTCTCCAGTTCAAATTCTTCAAGCATAAAATTTGATTTATTTTTTATTTATCAATAATATAATGACACATATTGTTATTTTACTAAAGAATGTTAATTTATTAAGAAAAATGACATGATATACCGATCCAGTTGTTCATATCACGTCAATTGTGAGAAAATAGTGATTAAAACTAAAGAGATATTAAAGTTTTGTCTCCAACACAAAGTTTAAAAATTTAACGATTAAAATAAAAATAAATATCCAAATCGCTGTCATTTTAATTGTTAAAATTCTGATGAAAAATTCAAGTTCCGTCCCAATCCAAAATAAAATAAAATGGATTGAAAATAATGTGAAAATAATGGGCGAAGGGAATTGAAAATTATAAATTTGTTGTTGATTTTTAAGCTGAGCCTTATGTCAATATCACTCTCCACCCGTGCATTTAATACCACTTTTAAATCGGACGGCTCAATTTTACATTAATCCAACTCTGGGTACGTTGTCGGGACTTCGTTTTACTAATTTATATCGATTCAGATTACATATTTAATTTTAATAAATGAATTTTTTGAAAAGATTTTTTTACATGTATAAAAATTTGAATTCGATACCTACTTAAACTGCTTATCATTTAAATTAATTCCGTTGACGTTAATATTTAATGTATACAGATATCCATGCTTTTGTATTATATTCGTATTATTTTTATATTATGTTTTATTTGCTTAAATATTTTATTAAATATAAAAAGAAAATGCATTATAACAAAGAAAACATGTTTCAATGTATTGTATTAAATAACAAATACTCCTTCCAAATATTCGGTGCACCATCCACGACGGTGGTAGCTCCAGCCTCCAGTCACTCGAATTCTCATTTTACGGTGAAGCTTAGGGCAAAAAAAAAACGATAAACCGATAAAAAGCCAAAAGAAAAAAAAAGGTTAAAAATGGAGGAATAAAGCGGAAAGCAGTTCATAAATGCAAAGCAAGCCTGAGATCTGTAAGATCACGTGGTCTGCACACTGACGTTTTTTACCCGTCGAAGTTAAAAAAAGGAAAAATTAATTTAATATCCGCCATCATTGAAAAAACGCCGTCGTCTACGGCGCTCACTGGTTAGAATAAATAAATAAGGTAGACGGTGGTCATATTTTGTAGCTGTATCTACTCTACTGAGGTTACTTGCTACAGCCTGTTTGATTTGACAACTCCTAGCCTTCTCCACACGAAATATCTCACTGGCTACATCCGGTAAACGGTAACCCAATTTCTTCCCTTTTTTGACGTACCCAAATCTATATTTTAGATAAATATACCTCAATATAAAAATACAAAATAACAAGTAATATAATATGTTGGTAATGTAAAGGAACAAATTTCATATTAATTAATATGTATTTTCATCAAATATTTTGATATATATATTTATAAATTTATTGAATATTAAAAGAAATGAAACATACACATCATCTCTAACATAATTAGGGATGTGTAATTTCACTCGCATCCGACTGTGACTGGTTTCGACCCGATCTGATCTAATCCGATCATATTTCTTTAAAAATTTTAGGTTCGAGTCATATTTTTTGAGGGGTTGAATCGGGTCGTATTCGGATGGATGGTGAAAAAACTCTGACCCGACCCATCCAAGGATAATAATGTAATATTTTTAATTTTTTAATTAAATTCTTAATTTGTAACGGTCAAGTCGAGTCAGATTTATACTCTAAAAAATAGATCGGTCAAAGTCAGGTAAAATATATATATATTTTTTGGATCAAACCGAGTCGAATATAAAATATATTATATTTTCGAATTAGGTCAGATTCGAGTGGAAAGTGCATATTTTCAAATTAGGTCAGATTGACAAAAAACTTGACCCGTTGTGATCCTAAACATAATGTCAAAGTTTGAATAAGAAATTTGACTAAATTTAACATCATGCAAAATAAAATAAAAGCCCAACATACCAATATTTTAAAAATCCATGACTTAAATAAAGCGTTTTTATTACAATGGTATTGATGCAATTTTACAATATTTTAAAAATCCTTGACTTAAATTGTAATCTAAAATATTTTTTTAAACATTTTAATGTGTGGATATGGAGTATGGGAAAAGTAGTTTTTGATTGAACTAATCAATTAATAGATTTGCTATCATGAAAGCAAAGAAGAATATAATGAATTAGAACATGCAAGTTCATAAGAAGTTGATGTTGCAAGCTTAAGGATTCTTAAATAATTTTATTAAAAATAAATAAATAAAAGTTTGAGAATAAAGATTATTTATACAAACTAACCAATCAAATAAAAAAGTAACTAATTGACAATAAATTTTAATTACTACATTGAGGACTAAAGTTTGAACATCATACATGTTAGGGGTGTGAACATTTAATGTTAAAAGATTAAAAACTTAATTTAAAAATATATTACCTTACACTTATCTCATCTTAATAAAAAAATGAACCGATTGACAATAAATTTTAATTACAATAGAAGAATATGAAATATTTTGTATTAATTTATCATGTAACATTACCTTTTTTTTCCTCTTAATATTTTGTGTTGTTTTTATTTCTCTCTTAATTGATTTAACTTAGGCAACTAATATTAAGATTAGTATCGTCCTCGTTGATTATTAGTTTTCATTTTTTATACTATGTCATTTATTTTTTTAAGTTTTTTTTTAATTTTGAACAAGAATATATGTTATTGTAACATGCTTTTATATGCTTTTGTGAAACTATCCTTTTGATTTTTGGTACACTTTTCACATTTTTTACAGTTGTTTTAGTGCTCGTACATATGCCCTCACAATATTTGTCTTCTGATTAATTTTTCGGTGATCAAGTTTAGTCAGGTCCCCTATTTGATAAAAGGTTGTTTGCCGATATAATCAAAATTGTGTAGAGAAACAGTTTGCTAGATAGTTTGGTTTGCTACCACTCCTTTATCACTTCGTAAAATATCTTATTCAACATATGCACGTTTTTTTATGAATGTTACTTAGCTTTTTAAAATGTTGGTCGTCATTCTCAATGAAAAGTTTCATTTTTCGTCGTATCTTTGATTTTAATACTTTTGTTTGAGAAAATAATTTCAGTGACCGAAAATGTCTTATAATATGCGATTTTAACAAACTTTTTTTGGATTTGTGAAAATGACCAACAAATTTGCAACGCGAATTTTAGTACTGTTTACCTATGTCGGTAATTAGCGTTGCGAATTTGAAAATCGCATTGCGATAGTACTGTTTACCTATATCGGTAATTAAAGTTGTGAATTTGAAAATCACGTTGCGAATTTGAAAATCGCATTGCGATAGTACTGTTTACCTTATTGGTAATTAGCGTTGCGAATTTGAAAATCGCATTGCGATAGTACTGTTTACATTGCGATAGCACTGTTTACCTATATCGGTAATTAATGTTACGAAATTGAAAATCGCATTGCGAATTTGAAAATCGAATTTGAAATTCGTAACGTTAATTACCGATATATGTAAACTGTACTATCACAATGCGATTTTCAAATTCGTACGCTAATTACCGATATAGGTAAACAGTACTAAAATTCGCGTTGTGATTTTGGAACCTGTGTTGCGAAATTTGTTGGTCATTTTCGTAAATAAAAAAAAATTGATTAAAATCATATATTATAAGGCATTTTCGGTCATTAAAATTATTTTCTCCTTTGGTTTTTGTATAAATTTCTTGGTAACTATTTCTCTCATTTTTTTCTTTATGCTTATATGAGTCGTAATGTTTATTCATTCCTATGTTTTTATTAAAAAAAACTCAATTATCATTGTTCAAAAGAATTATGGTTTATAGATATGACTCTTTTAAAAAAACATAGTTTTCATTTATTAGTGTGTCACTCATCTCTTTTATTTTTCATCTTTGTTGATCGACTCTGACACAAACTTTAATGTTGGTTGCCGACCGTCAATATTTCTTTATTGTCTTTTCATTTCTTATATCATATATTTATTTTCTTTTAATTTTTTTATCTTCAATAAG